TCCCCTCTGGTCCCTGTCAGTCTGTTCCTTGTTTCCATGCCTCTGTTTCTATTTTGCTCATTTTTTTGCTTTGTTCATTAGGTTCCACATATGGTTATTGATTTGAGAAAGAGAGAGACATCAATCAGTTGTCTTCCATATGCATCCCAACCAGGGGTCAAACCCGCAACCTTTTGGTGTATAGGGCAATACTCCAACCAACTGAACCAACTGTCCAGAGCTATATGCCAAATTTTATCAGATTATATTTTATACATGTACTGTTTATTTTATATCCATTTACCTTTATAAAACTGAAAAAGGAAATTAATTTCCTAAGTTGTTTAGTTAGGAAAAATAATACCTGCATATTTTGTGGAACCTCTTAGCTGTCAAACAAATACTACTTTCATTTCAGATTTTCACAAGAACCCTATGGAGTCCAGAGGTGGAGCTGCGATGTTTCCCTTATTTAAATAAAGATTCTAATCTCAAAGAGGTGAAGTGTTTTGTGTAAATTCCCATGGCCAGGCAATGGCAGAACCAAAGTTATAATTCAGGCTTTCAGCTACTAGAACTGTCATAATACCCGCTATTTATTTCAAAAGTCTGTGGCAAACATCACAATTGGCTTGTTGGACATTCTGTTTGTAATGGCCCTAATTCAACTCAGAAATCTCCAAAGCCATTGTATTTTAACATGTTAATTGGATTTGGAATAAAACCAAAGTTACAAGTGACAGTTTAAGAGGATTTTCACTCACAAAATGCAAAGTATGATGCACTCCAGCGACCTGGGATGAATTATTGGCCAATTTATTGATCATGTTAGGCCATCACAACCAATCCCTGGAAGTTCAAGGACTATAATGGAGCACAAGTAACTCCTAAAAGAAGGAGTCCATAAAAATTTTTTCTTTGTGAATAACACCCTTTCCTTATTACTCTCACATATGTAGTAATAATTTTATTTTTTAATTTTTTATTGGTATTCTATAACAGTTGTCCCAGTTTTTTCCGCTTTTGTGGTCCTCTGCCCAGCCCACTTCCCACCCCCACAGTCAATCCCCACACTGTTGTCTATGACCATGAATTATTCATATGTTATTTGACTAGTCCCTTCTCCTTCTTTCCCCCATTATCCCCTTCCCCCATCCCCTCTGGTCACTGTCAATCTGTTCCATGTTTCCATGCCTCTGGTTGTATTTTGCTTGTTAGTTTATTTTGTTCATTATATTCCTCTTATAAGTGAGATTGTAACATACCCCAATACAAGCAACAAATGTCGGAAGCCTTCAGGAGTTTATGATGGAACTTTATTGGCCAAAGTTTCAAAGTTTTTACCTGCGCAGGGGGGAACTCCCGGGGTGTCTCCGGAGACACGGTGCCAAGATGGCTGCAGATGAGAGTCACACCTGGCGCTTACAGCCTGGGGTTTTTATTGGGGTGAGCAAACAAGCAAGCAAGCAAATACAGAAGCAGACGTAGCTGTTAGCAATTGGCTATTTTGAGAGAACACACACACATCTCTGCTTACTACAATGGATACTTTTCTGCAAAGACAAGGCCATGCAAAGACAAGGTCATACACGGGCAGTATATCTCGTTCAGCACTCTTTGTACTTTCTCTAATTTTTCTATCTCCCTTGCTGAGACCGTCTGGTGCCTGCCTCAGGTTCCTCCTTGCTAATTTTATCTAATTCCAGCCTAACCTAATAAGATCATATGATATCTGTCAATCACCATCCAGCTTATTTTACTTAGCATAATGTTCTCCATATCCATCCAAGCTATTGCAAAAGGTGGGAGTTCCTTCTTTCTTTCTACTGCATAGTATTCCATTATGTAAATGTACCATAGTTTTGATCCACTCATTTACTGATGCTCACTTGAGCTGTTTCCAGCACTTGGCTATTGTAAATTATGCTGCTGTGAACATTAGGGTGTGTGAGTTCTTGAACTGATGATTCAAAACTTTTAGGGTATATTCCCAGCAGAAGAATTGCTGGGTCAAAAGGCAGTTCCATTTTTAATTTCTTGAGAAAATTCCATACTGTTTTGCACAGTGGTTGCACCAGTCTGCATTCCCACCAAAAGTTCACTAGGATTCCCTTTTCTCCACACTCTTGCCAGCACTTTTTTGCTGATTTACTTTTAAATAAATCTCTATTTTATTGATTATGTTAGTATAGTTGTTTCAATTTTTTCCCATTTGGCCCCCTTGCTCAATATCCCCATTCTCTCCAGCAATCCCACCTTAATTCCTGTCCATGGGTCATACCTATAAGTTCTCCATTTTCTATACTGTTCTTAACATACCCCTGTCTATTTCATACCCACCAATTTGTCCTTCATAATCCCTGAAGTCTTCCCTCCATTCTTCCCCTTCCCCCTCCCAGCTGATAACCCTCTAAACATTCTCCAAATCTATGATTCTGCTCCTGCTCTACTTGTTTGCTTAGTTTGTTTTTTAGATTCCATTCTTGATAGCCGTGAATTTGTTGCCATTGTAATGTTCATAGTTTTGATCTTCTTTTTCTTATAGAGTTTCCTTTCATGTTTCATATAATAATGACTTGGTGATGGTGAACTCCTTTAGTTTTACCTTGTCTTGGAAGTACTTTATCTGTCCTTCAGTACTCAGTGATAGCTTTGCTGGATAGAGTAATTAAGACTGTAGATCCTTGCTTTTCAACACTTTGAATAGTTATTGCCAGTTCCTTCTAGCCTGCAAAGTTCCTTTTGAGAAATTAACTGATAGTCTTATGGAAATTCCTTTGTACAAAACTACCTGCTTTTCTTTTGCTGCTCTTAAGATTCTCTCTTTATCTTTAACCTTTAGCATTTTAATTATGATGTGTCTTGGTGTGGTCCTCTTTGGGTCTACCTTGTTTGAGACTCTCTGTCCTTCCTGAACTTCTATTTCTATTTCCAACACCATTTAGGTAAGTTTTCTTTCATTATTTTTTCAAATAAGTTTTTGATTTCTTGCTTTTCCTCTTTTCTTTCTGGTACCTCTATGATTCGGATGTTGGTTATGTTTGGAGATGTCCCAAAGGCTCCTTAGTCTACCCTCATTTTTTGAATTCTTTTTTCTTCTTGCTGTTCTGATTGAATGCTTTTTTCTTCCTTATGTTCCAAATCATTGACTTGATTCTTGGCTTCATCCCCTTCATTGTTGCTTCCCTGTAGATTTTTCTTTATTTAATGTAACCTTCATTTCTGCCTGGGTCTTTTTTATACTGTTGTAGTACTCAATGAGTTTTTTGAGCATCCTGATATCCAGTGTTTTGAAATCTGCATTTGATAGGTTGCTTATCTCCATTTAGTTTAGTTCTTTTCCTGGAGTTTTGTCCTGTTCTTTTGTTTGGGTCATATTTCTTTGTCTCTTCAATTTGGCAGCCTCCCTGTGTTTGTTTTTTTGTATTAGGTAGAGCTGCTTTGACTCTCTGTCTTAGTAGTGGACCCTATTACAGAAAAGCATACCTGTCAGTTGTATGGGGTGGAGCCTTAAGAAATTGCCATGGCAAGGCAACCCATTTCACTGCTTTGTGGCTCTGTGTTTGGAGGACTTGGTGAAGGGACAATGCCACTGCCTGCCTGGCCACTGGAGATTTGCCCAAAGGGAAGCTGTCTCCTGACACTTTCCCTGTTGCCTGTCACTTCACTTTCTCCCCATATGCCTCTGATGCCTTTCTAGCTGTTGTCCTGGTGCTGAATCACAGAGAGGGTGGGTCTATGTAGGTCCTAAGAGCTTTGCAGGTCCTTTAAGAGGAGTCTTCTGAGACTCCTGCAGTTTATTCCACTTCCCCAACCCCCACTGGTTTTACCACCAGAAGTTATAAGGTTTTATCTTCCTGGCACTGAACCCCTGAGTTCAGTGGTCTGGTCTGAGGCTGGGATCACTTACTCCTGAGGTATCCCTCCTAATTTTTATCTACCACATGTGAATGTGGGGCTTCCCATTCCATGTATCCACACCTCTCTACCCTCTCTGCACCTTTCTGTGCACCTCTTCGCATGTCTCTGCATCTCCACCTGTCCTACCTATTTAGATGAATGTGGCTTCTTTAATTCCTTTGTTGTTGGACTTCCATGCAGCTCAATTTTCTGATGAATCTGGGTGCTATTTGTTTTGTAGTCCAGTTGTAAATTTTACTGTAGTCATGCAAGGTGGCAAAGTGTGTTTATGTACATCTCTATCTTGACTGAAAGCCATTGTTTGTTGATTTACTAATGATGGCCTTTCTGACTGGTGTGAGGGGATATCTCAATGTGGTTTTAATTTGTATTTATCTGATGGCTAGTAATGTTGAGTATCTTTTCATATGTCTACAGGCTATCTGTACATAGAGGAAACATAGGCAGTAAAATTTCAAATATCCCATGTACCAATATTTTTGCTGATATAGAGATGATATTGTTACTAGGTATATTTTCCTCTCCAGAGGACAAGGGTTGGTCTTGCAGTTCAAAGCTCTACAATGCAAGTTTTCAATATATACATCCAGCTTTATTCCTCACTAGCCAGGTTATTAGGGCAAGAATTTCGCCTGAGCACCAGCTTTCAAATTTTATCTAAGAATAGATTGCCTCCTATCTGTGGATGTTTAAAAACAGCACAGTACCCCAGCCTATGTGGTTCAGTTGATTGGAGTGTTGTCCAATGAACCAATAAGTCACATGTTCAATTTCCCCATCAGGAACATGCCTAGGTTGGCAGTTCAGTTCCCTACCGGGGTACAACTGATTGATGTTTCTCTCGCATTGATGTCACTCTCTCTCATGCTCTCTATCTCCCTTCCTCTTTCTCTGAAATCAATGGATGTATTTTTGGGTGGGGATTAAAATAAAAAAAAGAATAGAACAGTGTTGGCCTTCCAATCAGAGCCTTTCTATAAAAGAAGAAATGTGAGTAAATTATCACTCACAATTAGTGTTTTTATTTTAAATTTCCTACCCTAAATTGTCGCATTCAATTGTGAACTAGACAAAAATGTTCATCTTTTTTGTGTTTTCAGCTGGAACCCTGTCTACAATGACTACTCTATCCTCTGTTCTCTACTGATGACTTCCAGTCTCAGCCCCTGATCCATCCAGCACTCTCCTCACCAAGACTCAGAATCATCAGATCCCATGGTGTAAGCTCTTCCTCCGGGCACCAATTCCAATGCCACCCCTTTTGCAAATCTTCCCCTACCACGTAATGAGCCCCATTTAGCTTTCTGTCCTCCCTTCTTATGTTACTTGATATGCAAGATTCCTATTTGCTCTTCAGTCTCTGCTTTGCACTATAATCATGTAAGGACATATCTATCTGATTCACTAAACAGCAAGCACCTAGAAGGCATATTGTATTTAACTCATCTTTCTATATCACAGAAAACCTACTACCTGTATAATTCAACAATACTGAACAGATACAAAGATGTGTAATGGAAAAAATATGGATGCAACTCATAACTGTGTGCCCACAGCTGAGATTAAGAAATGACACATTACCATGACCTTGGAAGGCCCACGGGTGTCCCTCACCAGTCCTACTGCCTTCTCTCTTCACTTAGAGACAACTATTATTTTATGTTTTAGCTGGTAATTTTCATACTTTTCTACATAGTTTTGCTATATATATATTCACATTCCTAGGTGTCATTTATATAAATATCTGGAGAAATAAACTTTTCATATATATCCTGTATCTATGTTATATAAAAAGTTTTTAAACTTCACGTGAAAATCGAATTATACTACATGTATTTGGTTGTGACTCCTTTTTGTGTTCAAAATTGCATCCTTGAGAACAATGCACATTGTTGCTTTTGTCACAGAGACAGCAGGGGTCTCATTGACCCTTTGGGCTCTTGTGCCCAGAAATAAGTCGGCAGCAAGAAGAATCACCTGATCGCTTGGTGGAGCTAGTGGGGTAGGAAGGAAACTGTGAAACTTGTGTGATCTACCCAGGTGTCTCCATGATCTGCCTTACCTTTGGGAGTATGAATGGAGAGTGCAGGAATCACAAGCAGAAGGGGTGCCTGCCAGAAGTGCGTTCTCCTTGGGAGTGAAGTTGGGTTGACATCATCAGACAAAGCAGTAGATAAAGTGAGGTGATAGCTAAGGGTGGGAGGAATATAGGGTGGACAATAAAGGTAGGAGAAGACAAGTACCAGTTGTGGCCTCAGCCTGAGCTGCCCAGCAGGGAGCTTCCCTGGTCTAAGTTTTCCTTTGGGAAGAGGGGCCTGGAGGAACCGTGGGGGAGTGGTTGCTGCACATGTGTGGATGAGTGCATCTGGCTGCATAAGGAGTGGACTAAAGAGCCCATGAGAAGACACCCTTCTGATGTCTGGGTACAGGGACTGAACAGGCTGGCAACCCAGCAGCTACACTCAGAATTCCATTGCTGTGTTTACACATAGATCATGCTTCCTGAGGGCTGCTTTCTGTCAATGACAGCATGGCAGGGATACGGAGGCAGGTACACTCCCCAGAAAAAATGGATATGACAGTTAATTTTACGTGTCAACTTGGACCATGTAGCTAGGCCCTGGTACTCAGATACTTGGTCAACATGTCTGGATGTTGCTGTGAAGAAATATTTCAGGCAAGATTAACATTCAAATTAGTGGACTTTGAGGAAAGTAGATCACCCTCCATAATGTGGGTGATCTAATCACTTAAGCTCTTAGGATGAAAGACTGAGATTTCCCAAGAAAAAAGAAATTCTGCCTCTAGATTGCTATTGAATTCAAGAATTCAACAGCTCTTCCCTCAGTCTCCAGCCTGTTGGTCTGCCCTGCAGATTTCAGATTTGCCAGCCCCGTGTTTGCCAGAGCAAGGTCCCTAAAACAAATCAAATCAATCTCCCTGTTTGTCTTTCTCTGTGCCATCTATCTACCTATCTATCTATCTATCTATCTATCTATCTATCTATCTATCTATCTATCATCATTTATCTGTCTATCTATCATCTGCATCCTATCCTATCCTATCCTATCCTATCCTATCCTATCCTATCCTATCCTATCCTATCCTATCCTATTCATTCTGTTTCTGTGGAGTACTAACCCTGACTAATACAGGGTATGCTTACAATGGGTGGCTTTGGCTCACAAACTCTTCAGTGGTCTTCAACTTTCATTAAAACTGACCTGTAGTTTCCTGCCTTAAATTCCTTCCTTCCCAGCCTTTGTCAGTTGTAATCAGACCTGAACCCTGTGCTGGCAGCTCTCCCAACCTCCCCCAGAATCCTTTCCATCTTCACAGAGTGACAGTGTTCTTGTACATCCTTTTACATTCTTGATTTTGCGGGGGGGGGGGGGGGGGGGCGTTGTATGTTTGCTCCTTCAATTACATTAAATGTGTTAGGTTTTCAATGAATTAATATTTTGCTTTGTTAATCCTTTCAGTTATGGATTGGTTCTATCTTATAATTTTTGCTTTTATGTTTTTTAGTTCCTTTCTTTTACTTTTTGGGGTTGATATTGTTGTTATCTTTCTATTCTCCTGAAATGGGTGTCTAGTTCATTAAATTTTATCCTTCCTTCCTAATATGTTTTAAGCTATAGATTACCCTTTATGAGTTGCTTTAACTATGTTCCACAAATATTAATTTGTAATTTTCTTTTTTGTGTAGTTCAAAATATTTTTTAATTTTTATCATGATTTCTTCTATGTCTGTGTTATTTAAGAATGATGAAAGATTTTTCAGTTATCATTTTGCAATTGATTTTAGTATATTTTATTGATTATGCTATTACAATTCTCCCAATATTTTTCTCCCCTTTGATTCCCCTTGACTCTACACCCCCTGCCCTCCAGCATTCCCCCCTTAGTTCATGCCCACAAGTCTTGCATATAAGTTCTTTGGCTTCTTTGTTTCCTATACTATTCTTAACCTCCCCCCACTGTGTATTTTTGCCTACCAATTATGCTTCTTTTTTAATATGTATTTAACATAACAACATAAATAACTATAGTTTCCCAAAATTTTAAGAAGGAGCTTTAAATCTCTTTAATGTCTGGCTTAATGGAAAACAGCTGGATTCTCATGCCTGCTTATGTATTCAATTGTTATGATATGTTGATTTGGTATATGAAGAAACCCTGGGCTCACACAGATAATAGAAAAAGGAAAGATTCTTTTTCAGATATTTATGGTTTTTATTTATTTTTTATTCCATTTTGTGTTTGCTAGTTTTTATTTTCTGATACTACACCAAAATCTAAAAAGTGATAGTTTGTTAAAGGTTAGCTGCTGTGTGGTATCTAAAACCACATCTGTGAACTGTTGATACCCTATTACATTAAAACTCATTGGCCTGTCTTGCCCTTTATTTTTTTATTTCTTAAAATATATTTTATTGATTATGCTATTATAATTATCCCATTTTCCTCCCCTTTATTCCCCTCTTCCCAGTACCCTCCACCTCCCACCATTATTCCCCCACCTTAGTTCATGTCCATGGGTTGTACATGTAAGTTCTTTGGCTTCTCCACTTCCCATATTATTCTTACCCTCCCCCTGTCTATTTTGTACCTACAATTTATGCTTCTTATTCTCTGTACCTTTATCCCCATTTTCCTCCTCCCACTACCTGCTGATAATCCTCCATGTGCTCTCTATTTCTGTGATTCTCTTCCTGTTCTAGTTGTTTGGTTAGTTTGTGTTTGTTTTTGTTTTTTAGGTTTGGTTGTTGATAGTTGTGAGTTTGTTGCCATTTTATGGTTCATATTTTTGGTCTTTTTCTTTTTCTTAGATATGTTCCTTTAACAATCCATATAATAAGGGTTTGCTGATGATGAACTCCATTAACCTGACCTTATCTGGGAAGCCTTTATTTGCCCTTCCATTCTAAATGATAGCTTTGCTGGATAGACTAATCTGGGATGTAGGTCTTTTGCTTTCATAACTTTGAATACTTCTTTCCAACCCATTCTTGCCTGCAAGGTTTTTTTTGAGAAATCAGGTGAGAGGCTTACGGGAACTCCTTTGTAGGTAACTGTCCTTTTCTCTTGCTGCTTTTAAGATTCTCTCCTTATCTTTAATCTTGGATAATGTACTTATGATGTGCCTTGATGTGTGCTTCTTTGGGTCCAACTTCTTTGGGACTCTCTGGGTTTCCTGGACTTCTTGGAAGTCTATTTCTTTTGCCAGATTAGGGAAATTCTCCTTCATTATTTGTTCAAATAAGTTTTCAATTTCTTAGTGTGTTCTCACGTTTCAAGATCAGGCAGGTTTTTGGTATTCATGCAGATGGAAAAATATTCATGGAGCCGTTGGGATGTCTGGCATGCCTTCATTCATGCATGGGGGAGCCATGCATGCTGCAAGCTGCATGTTTATCTGCATGTCCCATGTCATGGCCCTTGCTCCTTAGGGTGGTACTCATCATGGCTCCTGTCCCCTTGTGTGTCTCTTATCATCATTACCCCCAGCAAGGAGTCCCTGCCTGTTTCAGTACTAGAGGGAAACAAACTCAGAAAAATGCCAGAATATTACATAACATAACATATTTCTGTGCATGCAAGCTCACTTCATGTTATGGAAACAGTTTGTCAGATCAGTCTCAAGGCTATGAGAACACCAGTTATCAGACCTGTCCAAGGCCACTGCTCCCCTTAGTTACCCAGACACCTGGGTGAGGATGCCAGACTACCTCCACTTACTCTGCACTCGATTTTCCTTTTCTCCTTCTGGCACCTCTATGATTTGAATGTTAGCATGTTTAAAGTTGTCTTGGAGTTTCCTAAGCCTCTCCTCATTTTTCTTTGAATTCTTGTTACTTCATTCTGTTCTAGTTGAATGTTTATTTCTTCCTTCTGCTCCAAACTATTGATTTGAATTCTGGTTTTCTTTCCATCAGTGTTGGTTCCTTGCACATTTTCCTTTATTTCACTTTTCATAGCCTTCAGCTTTTCATCTATTTTGTAACCATAATGAACCATTTTCTGTGAGCATCTTGATTACCAGTGTTTTGAACTGTGCATGTATTAGGTTGGGTATCTCTTCATCACTTAGTTGTATTTTTTTTCTGGAGCTTTGATCTGTTCTTTCATTTGGGCCATATTTTTTGTCTTGCTGCACCTGTTACATAGTGGGGAGTGGAGCCTTAGGTATTCGCCAGGGTCAGACAACCCACATCACTGCGTTGTGGCAGTGTATGTGGGGGAGGTATCTGAGAGGGAACAGTGCTGCTTGCTCAGCTCTTGGCTGGCTTTCCATCCCTTCCTCTGCTACCCACAAGCAAATTGGGCCCTTGTGGTGCTGATTCCCAGGTGGGTGGGTTTGTGTACATTCTAGGACCTTGAGGGTCTCTCCAATGAACTTTTCCATGAGGCTGGGAGTTTTTCCCACCACTGCAACCCCCATAGCTTTTTTCAGTCTGAGGTTCTTTGGCTATTTCCCTGTGCTGGAACCCTGGGTTGTGCAGTCTGTCTCAGTTTCCAGTTGTTCCTCTTGGCTTATCTACACATGAATGTGGGACTGCCCACTATGCCAGATGCCAACTTGCTGCAAGTCCTCTCAGCCCTGGCTGTCCGTCACTGCCCCTCCTACTAGTCTGAATGAATGTTTCTTCTTCATTGTCAGACTTCCATACAGTTTGATTATCTGGCAGTTCTTGTTATTTTTTGTTTTTAAATTTGTCGTTGTCCTTCTTTTGGTTGTCCAAGGAGGCAAAATATATCTCCCTAA